GAATTAGCTACTGTGGCAGTAGAGGCCATAGATTATGATGACTTGGGCTGGGGTAGAGAAGATATAAGGGAGAAAATTCAAGATATGCTTTGAAGGTGGTGCTGATAGGACTTGTTAATGATTTGGATATGAGTTGTGAGGAAAAAGATAAAATCAAGAACAACTTCTAGGAAATTAGTTTTGAACAACTGTGGGAGGCAACTGATTAATGTTTCACTTTCACATCCTTTCTCTCTTGATGTTCCTCTCTTTCTTTCGGTCTCATTCTAACATAAATAAAAGCATGTCCTTGGGTGAGAATTAAAAAAACATTTATAAAGATACTGTTTGAGGATATTTAAAACATTAAACACTTAGGGGATAAAGTGGAGTAGCATTAGATATATGAATCTGGAGTTCAAGCATGAGGTCAGCAGTTGAGATAAGAATATGGAAGTGTAAACCTTGAGGGGAAGAAAAAAGACATCTACTAAGAAGTGCTCCTGGTGGCTAACTGGGCTCAAATTTTAAAAAACAGAGCCCAGCAGCTGTTTATTTCCACTTTGGGAAATAAAACGCTTTTATTTCCCAAAGTGGAGAATTTCTGCAAAGACTGGAAGTGGTAAAGAGTTGCACTGTGCTTTGAGAGAGGTTATGTGTGAGACAGGACAAGAGCAATAGGGAAACTGAGACAGATAGTTAAGCAGCAGCTTGCAGCCATATAGTAAATCCTATCTTTTCTAAACCAAGGACACTTAAGAGTAGATGGTTTGTACTTCGCCCCAAACAGAGAGTAAATAGCTTAAATCCCCCTACTGAGGGAAACAGCAGAAATCCAAATAGTGCCATTTGCCAACCACACCCAAGGGCAGATCAAGTTAAGAGAATAAACCTAATTTTGATACATTAGCATAAAGCTGATGAACATTCTATTGAGATCCTCCTCTCAATGCCCAGCCTTTAAAACCCTCCACAGGAAGATCCCAGCGCTCCCTCTGCCTCCCAGGAGCATGTCCTCAGTAGTTCGTCCCAGACAAGCTCCTTGAACCTGTCCCCAAGGACCCCATTTCTCTGACTTCTTAGTAGGCCAAAGTAGACCAGCCTAGGCTTATTTCCCCAGCCCTTTGTTTCACTGTCCCCAGCTTTAATAAAGTCTTCTAAAATTCACCTGGATTTCTTGTGAAAATTTTCCTGCACCAAGTCAAGACCCCACACACTACCAGCTGCCTTGGGCAGACCTGGTCAGGGCCAGGTCCCCTTTCTGGTAACATAATCACAGTAACTCCATTGTCTTGGAGCAAGCTAGAAAGGCTGGATTGCTAAGGAATGGAAAGGAGTCAGAACCAGGAGCATGGGGCCTGGGGTCAAATTTGGGGGTGGGGGTGGGGGTGGGGCTATAGTCCTAATTTGGGAGCTAAAGGAACCTTAGGCTAGTAACCACCTATATAGTTGGTTGACACTACATATGATCTCTAAACTCCCTCAAAGACACTTACATGAGAGATTCTCTTCTTTTCTCACCCCTAGAGTTACACTACTAGGGGCAGCGGCCTGAACCAAGGGCATAGGATAGCCTGTTCAGCCCCAGCTGACCATCAGCTCCCTGCATTTAGAGGTCAGTCCTGGCCGCAACTCGGCCAATGGCCAGGGAGGCTACTGAGCTCCCCAGGCCAGGAGCGCAGAGAAGTGGGCAATAGGTCACTTAAAGCCAAGGGAGAGAAGGCCCGGAGAAACTGCAACTCCCAGGAGCCCGTGCAGTGTCACTGGGTGGCCTGGGCCCAGTGCGTGTAGAGAGGTCAGCCGCCTCCCGCCCTACTTCACGAAAGCCGCTCCGGACAGGTAACCTGTGCGCATGCTTAGTCACGTCGCAAGTAGTTCTTTCCCTCCAGCTGGCTGCTTCTTTTTCCGGCCTCGCCCCGGCGCGCTTTTTCTCTCCCCACCCTCCGCCCTCTTTAGAAGGATTTTGGGGCGGGAGGGGGCAGGCCTCTGGCAAGCGCGTTCCCAGGGGTGTGGACCTGCGCGTTCACAGGAGATTAAAAAGGGAGGGGACTAAACACTGGGTGTGGATGGTGGCGAGGGTCGGAGGAAACCGCAGAGCACAGAAGGCGCATGCGTTCTGGGGAAATGTGCTGCGAGGCTTTGGGAATTGCAGAGGGGCGGGGCGGGCGGGCGGAAATGGGCAAGCGGGCAGACGCACGCGCATTGGGCGCCGGTGCCCGCCCCTTTTAAAGTTTCCTCCCCCCTTCGTCCTCCTCCACCGCCCTCCGGAAGTGCACCATCCAGCCTGGGCCGGACCGGCGGCCACACCCTGCGGCAGGCCCCGCCCTTTCCCGGCTCCGCCTCCAGCTCCCGCCCCCTCTGCTGGTGGTGGCGCTGGGTGGCTGCACTGGTCCTGGTGGTTTCGGGGCTCCTAACCGGCAGCGCAGAGTCGTTCCCTGAGGCGGCGGCCAGGCTATGATCGCGGGTCCCCGGCGTCCTGCTCGGGCCAACCAGAGTCCTTGTTTCAGCGTGTGCCTCTGGCCGAGCGCTCTCCTCACCACGGTCCCCCTGCGCGTTTGGCTGCGGCGCTCCCGGCGCGCCCCCTCCTCAGATGGCGGCGGAGATCCAGCCCAAGCCGCTGACCCGCAAGCCGATCCTGCTGCAGCGGGTCGAGGGCTCCCAGGAGGTGGTGAATATGGCTGTACTCGTTCCCAAGGAGGAGGGCGTCATCAGCGTCTCGGAGGACAGGTACGGACCTCTGCCCCTCGGCCGCGAGGAGGGGCGGGACAGGTCGGCGGCCCCCCAACCCGCGTTGGGGGCTGCACCTCATGGTCGGCACAAGTGTAGACATGCTCCCTCAAGTTTTTATTATAATGCGCATCCTGGTGAGGCCGGTGTCCAGCTGCGCGCCGCCGCTGCGTGGCTCGGGGAAGCGGAGCTCGGACAGGGGCGTGATCTCTGGGCTTCCCAGGAGCCGGGTGACGCCGGCCGGCGCCAGGGTGGCCCTCGGGCTAACGGTATGCGGGCCTCTGGACCTTGGTCCAGCTCTGAGGACCGGAGCGGGAGAGGAAGGAGCCGCCGGACCCTGCAGGTGTGTGCGCGAGGAGGATGCCCCCGGCTGCCTCTGCGAAAATAACTGAGGGTTTTGAGTGCTCTGGTACAGTTCTTAGGGCTCCAAACGGAGAAAGCAAATGCCACTCTTCTCCCGGACATTCCCACCGAATCCACATCTCCTAGGTACCTTAAACTGAATCAATGAGCATTGCAAGTTGTGAAAAGAGTACTTTGGGCTTCTGGCCAAAGGAAAAGTGCCTGTCCAAAGAAGCGCCTTCTCTCCTTTGCCTTCCTTTTCAGAACTTGCAAGGGACCAGTGCTGCAAATAGCTCTTGAGTTCCTTCCCTTTGCTTGCTTCCTTTCTTTTTTTGCATTAATTTTGCTTAATTTGCAGAAGTGGAGGCATTTGTTCTGCCTTTGATATGCTCCCTTATTTGTCAGACAAAAGGGTTTTTTATTTAATTTAATTTAATGTCCGTTAATAGTCCATTAATATGCCGATATTAGGTTGATGAAGCTGATGTTCATAGGAATGCTGCTTGAATCTAGTAGTTATGGTATTTTCTGGAATTGTTTTGATAATATCAACTAGTATTTTAAAAAGTTTAACACTGTAGAGGTATATGACAAGGGGCTTTAACATTAAAACAGTAGGTTTTCTTAATGTAAGTTCAAATTATGCTGAGGTAGAGAATACCCTAAAATTGTAGGCAGAGGTAAAGCAACAAAGTTTACTGTCTTTATAGTCATTTTAGCACTTTATTTACAATGTAGCCACAAAAAATTTTCCTGTTAGGTCTATTCATATAATAGGTTCTTCAGCATAACCAGGATGAATACATTGTGTTTGTCTACATCATACTGCAAACAAATAGCCAAATGGATTTATTTTCTGTGCAGATCCAATGGAAAAGATTGTAAACATACATCAATTGCAAGCAGTGTGCAATAAACAGAAGAAATTCATGGCTGAAATGGAATACATGGATGTAGAAACCTTTTGAAATTCACAAAGAAGTCTTATGAGTGTTTAATTTTTCAATACAGGCACAATTCTATTAAAGAGATTGCTTCTGGACCTAGAAAGTCTTTTGTTACAGGATTGTTTCTAAAGGAATAAAGGATAGAGGTCATTTTTTCCAGTCTGTAACTACTAGAGATGAAACTGTCAACCTGACTGCTGTTAGGAAATTCGTAAGTAAGTTGGCTGAATCAAGTAAAAGGAGAAAGGTAGTTAAATCTAAGTTCCTTTAATATTAGTTTTGAAACTTTTTGCTGTGGTTGATGGTTTGGTCATAGAGGTAGGCTTTCAGTCTTTTTTTTTTTTTTTTTAAACTTCAGAGGGATCTTAGAGGTTATTTGCTCTAACAACTTATTTTACATATGAGAAAATTTAGGCCAGAGAATTACCTGCCCAAATTCATGTAGCTGGTGGTAGAGCCAAGCCTACCTTCTACGTCAACCTGATTTCCATATCAGTGTGTTTATCTTGAAGGAAAAAGCTTTAGTAGGGTGCATTCAAAGTATTTGGAGAAGCTGAAGTATCATATATGAAAGAAACTTAAAGATAAATTACATTTGATTATAGAATAAAAGCAATGTGATTTTTAGCTACATATTACCTTAATATTCACTTTCCTAATTTACAATGTAAGTAATAGAATTTATTTTATTACAGAGTTACTATTAAATATAAAGCCTATAATAGGGGGTGTGCAGGAGGCAGCTGATCGATGTTTCTCTCTCATTGATATTTATAACTCTGTCCTTCTCCCTTCCTTGCTGTAAAAAAATCAATAAAATTTAAAAAATATATAGGATAATTCATAGAAAGGAAATAAAAATGGCTGATAAACTTAATACTAATTAAAGAAGAGTAAATTAAATTAACAAGGAAATACCATCTTTCACCTATCACATTGGCAAACACTTTTTAAAAAATTGAATTTATTGGGGTAATATGTGTGTCTTATTCATTGTGTTATCTTTGGGGTCTAGTATCCTGTTTGGCACACAGTAAGCCCTCAATAAACATTCACTGTCAGTGATTGATAGATGTTTATTTTTCCTGAAAGTATAGCATCTTAACTATTGTAGACTTTAAAAAATATATATTTTTATTGATTTTAGAGAGGAAGGGAGAGGGAGAGAGAGATGGAAACATTAGTGATGAGAGAATCATTGATTGGCTGATTCCTGCATGCCCTACACTGGGGTTGGAATCCACAACCCAGGCATGTGTCCTGACCTGGAATGAAACTAGGACCTCTTGGTTCATAGGTTGATGCTCAACCACTGAGCCACACTGGCTGGGCTATTGTAGACATTTGATTGACATTTATTGAGTGAACTTTATGACCACATATATATGGGGAAAAGTTTGGAGTGGGTGGTCTTAAAATTGTGGAAGTCCATGCATTACTTCATTCATTCCATCAACAAACATGTGGGTTCCTATTGTGTTTCAAGCACATGTGCATACTACATTGGTAAAAATGACAGGGTTCTTTCAGGAAATTTTAGAAGATAATAAAACCACAACCTCTAAGATTCATTATTGAAAAGAGAATTTTCAGATGTGGAAGAGTGGTTGGATTTCATAGTCCTTGTTCTGTACATTTTACTTTTCTTTATTTTTGATCGGTTGCCTCCTGTATACACCCTGATGGGACCAAACCTGAAACCTGGGCATGTGCCCTGATTGGGAATTGAACTGGTGACCTTTCAGTGTCCAGGATGATGCTCAACCAACTGAACCACACCAGCAGAGGGTTCTAAAGAAAGGTAAAATGGATCCATAGTGGACTGATAATGTCCTAATCTGCAGGCTCAAGAGTGGGTAAAACTGTACCCTGAATCAACCTTAGCACTCTTAAAGAATGCCTGGAACTTTACTGGATACCAAGGGAAGAAATATAAGATATATAAAACAATCTGACTTAAGGGATAGATTTCTGTTGCTATTATAGAACAGAGCTTGTTTCACTGGCTTGTTCTGTTGCTGTCATAGAACATAGCTTATTCCATTGGCCTTTTCTGAGTATCTTTGCTTTGGCTGTAACTGGGTTCTATCTCTGAAGGACAAGCCCAACATTGGTATTTTGGGTTCCTCATTTTCCAGCTTCTTTCTGAACTGTCTTTTCTGAGTGAGCACCATTTTAACATTTCTTGCATAGGAGCTTTCTCCTTGACATCTTGGTTCAAATTTGGTTAAGACTGATGTCTTGTCTGCAGCTTACCACAGGCTCCCTTGTCCAGTGGCAGCTTCTTCTCCAAGTGTTGAAGGAAGGAGAGACTTCTCCTGGTAGGATCCAGCGCCCCCCCAGACCTTTATCTTTGTAAATTCTTTATAGGCATATCTTAATACAATTCAACAGTCTTAGCATTCATACAGAGAGTTTTTAATAACTCTAGATAGTTAGTATTAGACAATTACAGGAAATTATTCCTTTACCAGGAGTCTATACCCATGCAATAGGTAAAAGGGTTTTTTTTTTTTTTTAAATCTCAATATAAGGAGATGTGCTAAATGAAAACAAGTACAAACATTATCCTCTGGGGTTGTCCTCTGATTGTGGTGGTTAGAGAGAGGAGCTCGGCTCCACATGGGTCTTGCAGGATGAGTAGTTCATGTGAAAAAGCTAGAGTGGAGGAAAGGGCATTCTAGTAGAGGAGGAAGAGAAAGCTCCCTTTCATTAGAGGCACTAGAATGGACTGGTTAAGAGTATGCTCAGGAGACGGTACATGGGAGAAACCAAAATGGCAGCATAGGTAAACACCTGAAATTGCTGCCTCGCACAACCACTTCAAAACTACAACTAAAGACAAAACAGACATCACCCAGAACCACAGGAAGGCTGGAAATTCTACAACTAGAAGGAAAGAGAAAAGCACACTGAGACTCAGGAGGTACGGAAGTAAAGTGCACAGGTATGGAGGTGCGCGCGTGAGCGAAAAGGCTGGCAACGGAGGACGCTAGTATCTTTTTCAATTGGGAGGGAGTCTCAAGCTCCTGATGGCCCTGACTCCAGTTCCCGGTGAGTCTCTGGGGACCCAGACTCATACGGGGAGAAACTAGACTGTCTGGCAGCAGGTGGAACTTGAGGGCAGCTTTCACAGAGGTGCTTGCAGCGATTACCGGGACACTGAGACGCAGGGCCTCTTAGGGCAGGGCTGAGGATCAGCCATAGCTGTTTGTTCCACCCTGTTGATTCCCTGAGACCCCGCCCTACCCAAGCTGTGCACAGAGGCTTTTGCATATGAATAATGTGGCCCTTTGCAATCTGAAAATTACCTAACAAACTGCAGCTGGGTCAGAGAGAACCAGAACATCCAAAAGAAGGCTCAAGGCCCCACAGCAGCTTGCATTGCTTCACAGCTGGGCCTCATCTGAGCACCTCCACA